TTTGGCAACGCCAGTATTGGTGCATGAAGGAGACTGTCTGTTACCCCGTCAAAAGCCTCCCGATGTTTGGTGTCCCAACACCATTCCACAGCCTTCTTAAGGACTAACGACAATGGCCGTGCCATTTCTGAATAATTGTCGCTATACTTGTGCAAGTGTTTGGCGAGGTCAAGCCACTTGCGCAAGCCCTTTCGGTTCTTTGGAACTGGGCAGTCCACAATGGCCTTGACCTTAGCGGAATCCGCTCGAAGGCCACCCTTTCCAATGAAACACCCTAAAAGTTTTTTTTTCTTAGCACCGAAGATGCGCTTATCTGCGTTAGCATACAGCTTATTCGTGCGCATACACCCGAACACCGCTCTCAAATTAACGATGTGGTTGTCTTCATCCGTTCTGCTGTGCCCCCACGACTCTGGACGAAGATGTCGTCAAAGAAGCCTGAAGAATTGCGTCACAAGACGATTAAATGTGCATTGACAGCCCTTGTGGCACCACCATCAACTCCCAGAGCATCCCGCTCGATGAACTCATCGCTGTCAGCGGAATATCGCTCGCTTTCATGAGCAATTGAGAGTTACCATCGACCAAGTCGAGTAAGCTTTATCTTTTACACCCAACCATGTTATTCTGGAGAGCATCCTTACTAGGAATCGGCTTCTGTGCAGGAATGGTGGCATCGTTGAGCTTATTGTATGCGAGATCAGTACGCCACTTGCCGTTCGGCTTCCGGACACAAAATGTGGGTGTTGAATGGGGAGACTTGCTCTCACGCACTATTCTTGCGTCGTGCTTCACACGGAAGAAGGCGTCAATAACGTCACACTACTCCTTGATCAGGGACCATTGACGTGTTACGCAGTATTTGGCTTCCGGAACCAGGTCGATCTCATGACGCACACCTGGATCCGGAGGTAGGACCGACGGCGGGTCTCTGGAGACGACGTCCTAAAACTCTCTTGCCAAAGAATAGTACGGAACGAGGGACTCTTTTGAGTTAAAGATCCACATCGTGCGTTCAACAACCTCTTTGAGCCCTCCAGGACAGCCTCATTCAGAACGGACGACGAGTTGACCTCCCGTCCAGTCGTATAAGGACCATTTCGGATAAGTCGCCTGCCTTCAAGGCACTGCCGAACTTGACACTCGTCCAGCTCAAGAAGAGCATCCACCACAGAAATAGCCCCAAGGGTGGCATCGCCGTCTCCCCCTCCCGTTATGCCCGTGACAAGGGTGTATAGCTGTCTACGATAGACACATCCTGATTCAGGGTCGAGGCCCTGGGTCTTGCAGATAATATACGGCGTCATCGTTGCCCCTCAGAGGTTCACGTCTCAGCGGGACCAGTGGGATTACGCACTCATCGTCATCCAGCGTTCCCACTCCCTGCTCCATCGGATCCTTGATGTGAATAGCAACATTCGACGATGAACTGCCATTTTCGCAGTCTTCGTCCAGTGGATAACGCGCCACACAACGGGCATCTGATGAACCTTGGCCAAGATGCCTCGAACCTCGTCCGACCATGCCACTCTTGACATACAGCAGCTGCTTCGAACCGTGAGCAGTGATCAGTCCACGTGCATCACCGGGGTCTTGTTCTCGATGCCTCGAACCTAGTCCGACCATGCCACTCTTGGTATGCAGCGACTGACCCGATACTTGAGCAGCGCTCAGTGGATTACGTGCCACTCCACGTTCAGCCTACGAGCCATGCTCGGGACTCCTGTCTAATACACCTTTGGCGTTCGACAATTCGGTTACTTCAATCCGTCCCGGTCCAGTGCTCGCGCCAATAGCGCTTCTGCTTCCTAGCAGAGGTGAATTTAGGGCCCAACGAAGCCCCGCCAGGAGACGCGCGCATAGAGCCCAAGGTTTTCGACATTCAATCGATCCATGGCTCTTGGTATTCCAACTATGCCATCCCAAGAATGGTCATACCCTGAAACTAAGTCTAAGATTAAACAGCGTTCCACGCTATTAAAGTCAAGAAACTTGGCACCGAGGTCCACAGGGACGCTCGGCTCCCTGACACATGTCCCCGTCGCTAAGCGAACAGAGACCGTGTCACCCAACCGCGCTTTCAGCGCCTCAGCATACCGCTGATATACTTCTATCGCGAAGTGTCGAGCATAATTGCTCGACGTCCCGAAGTTAATAATGATCTTCCATGGCTTCTCAAAGTCCTTCACAGTCGCTTTCACACCCAGCAAGCCCGGGGCTCTTCGGGGTTGGGCCCTGCTGCCCTCTACCTTTTTGAGGCTAAACAGAACTCAGTTCTTCCCCAGTAGGGCACCCCGCGCCTACTGGGCGTTGTCGTTTCCCCGCGACAGTCCAGAAAACTGGTGAGAAAAGAAACGTTGGTTCGATCAACCTTGACGCGCCTTGCGCAGGTGACAACCAGTCTAAATGTGACGGGTGTCCTCACAGACAAAACACCGTCGGGTGTTTAAACGCTGCTCGGCAGCTCGGATCTCTCCCTCCTCTTTTCAGCATAGCTGAGATCCATTGACTCACGCCCGCTCGATGAGCTCTGAGGGTGTGCATATCATCTAAGTCGTGCCGACTTAAAGTTGAATTCGGCATTCATTGCCACATTTAGCGCTTCTTCAAAAGAAGGCGGATGCAAACGAAAGAGTTCCATTCGGACCACTTTTGTGCGGAGGTCCTTCATAAATACGGTCATTGCGACCGCCTCGGGAAAGGATCGGCTGCCATCCCGGCAATGATGGTTTGCAACACTTGGACAAAGTCCACCAACTCCTTCTTGCCATGGTTGGCGGGAAGGAAACGCTACCGCTTGCGATATGCTTGGCTAGGCGACGAGAGCACTTGTAAATGCTGCAGCTTCAGCTCCGCCCAGGAGGAAAACGCCGCATCAACCGAAGTGCCGCACATCAGTGCCCATTATCGTACTCGACCCCAACCTATGAGATAGCTAACGCCACGCCCTGTTGCTCGTTCTGGAGCATGGCGGATGCCATAGACATCCCGGCCTCTCTCTCCCAGAGCAGGAGATTCTGTCCTTCCGTACGCTCGAAGATCTTAACGCTCACCACGAGCGGCCTGGGTCGGAAGGAGGCATCCGTCGTCGACGGTAATGTCATGGACGCAGTCGACGCCGACATCTTTTGCTCTAGGTGCTCTAACAGAGCAGTTCGAAAACGCCTCCAGGCGCGCGCTGATTGCTTCAGGTTATTGTGAAGCGAGGTGTTGCCCGCCCTCAGTGCCAAGCAGAGACATCAGCTTTTCAAGCTCGTCCTGCATGTCTTGGGACAAATAGGAGAATTGTTTCATCCTCATAGAGGATCAGTCGTAACGAATCAGGTTTAGATTGACTAACAAGTGCCACCAAGTGCAGCGGGGCTGTCGCAGCTATTTGCTTAGAGGAGGAAACTAAGGTCACCCACCTTACGTTTTATACTAGAACCAGTATCGGATCGCAACCCGCTAATTCCAAGAGTACCCACAAGCTTAACCCAAAACAGAAACACTCTTCTGCTCAAAGTGTAAACTGTTTTTCTTTTGTATAATTTGCGGCAGATCAGCCCACTATAGGTTCTCCTAACTTAATAGTAAAACCTAGTTATGATGCATAACTACCGGTAGTTCCGCCACATAGTGGCTTCTTGTTGAGGTGTAGCCACACCATCGTGTGATCACACCATCTTGTGTGACCCATTCCTTTATACCAGGGTACGTGTAACACCGTTACACACCGCCATCCCCACCACCGAGTGGTGGTCGGCCTTATTACAATTGCAACAATTGGTCGGTAGCTGTAACAGCTGTCGCACAGAAACGAGTGGGGCTGTAAACGGTAGAGCCTGGAGTGATGTTTTCTGCCTCAACGTCTGCGTTGTTCTTCGTATTTCGCACTCTAGTCGGAATTTGGCTTTACATGCAAAGCCTTACGACGGGCTAGATAACAACCTCACTCAGTGCATGAACTGAGAACGTAACTCATTGGTATTACCAGCTTTGTACATATCTCATAAAAGGAGGCATGATAAAATAGAAGAGAGATTTTGACGCGAAGATGCTTCAAGGAGCAGGAAGCGGCAGTGCAAGCCTTAAAACTCCTTCGTGACTGTTGCTATAAAACAGATATCCATTTAATGCCAAATCTACCTGGTAGTGACAAAGTTGATTGCAAGAAGTGGAGTGATACTGCACGCACAGTGAAAGCTTGTTGAGCTATCACTTACCGCCCAATGTTTTAAAAGACAAAAGAAGTGTAGGCCATCGTGCGGTCAATGTTTGATGGTCGGGGAAACGCACTAAACTACTATGTTCATACGCCTTTCAACTGCATGGTATACCCTTGAGTAATTGTGAGCTTTTAAAGATAGGAAAGCATTAATACTAAAGTATACGGATTTATTATGTTCAGGAAATGTGGGCTGTTAGTCTTACGTTAAGCAGCACATATAATTTCAAAATCAGTCATAGTAAAGCAATATATATACAGAACAGCTCATGTTGAATATATCTCACTTGTGATATGGCGGATAAAGTAAGTACCAGCTATGTCAAAGGCTCTTATTTCTTCCTTTCGGATTGAGCGTACGAAAAGAGGAATGCTTTTGTGCATCGTTACATTTAATTTCTCTCATTGGTATACAATTGCGCTTAATTTCCTTGTGATATACGATCATCATAGGTGCAAGTATAATGTTTGCAACAGCTGATACATCTACGAAATTCAAGTATACACGCTCAACCACGACGACTGTATGTATAGTCAGTCATCTCGTTATCTCAACATGCCTGTTCGCGCATCTCGGTAGTCTTGGAGAATTAAATGCCATAGATGGCATTTGGTGGTTCTTTGGGATGAGTAAACAAATATAGAATGTTATAGTTAAAAATGAAGCTAAATAGACTTTTGTATTAAGCTTTGTAACTTTTTTTCTAATCTCCACGTATTATTGATAGATTAATATTACAATTTGATGTACTCTTTTGTTACTGTTTGGACCTATAGAATTTACTTATCAATACAAATGCGAAGCCGAAGCCGAAGTCGCAGCCGAAGTGGGTCTTTGGACAGCTTGGGGCGTCGCCGTCGTCGCAAAACATCGTCAAACAGTCGCCGCCGTCGTCGCTCTGTATCTACATCTCGTTCTCGATCTCGATCGCCTTCTTATGGACACCGCAGAAGGCACCGGACGCACAATAGAAGTCATGGACGCAGTAGAAGTCGCCGTCGTCGATCTTATAGTCGCAGCAGATCCACGAGTCAGTCTCCAATACGTCGTCGACGTTCTCCGTCACATTCTGCACCGCGTGAAACTAAAGAAAGCGTTGATGTAGAGCCCAAGGAGATCGTGGGGCAACCAAATGCAATATCGCAATTAAGTGAAGAGGAACAAATGAAGTTGCTGCTAGGCTTTCAAGGCTTTGATTCGACGAAAGGAAAGGAAGTGGACGAAAATGCCAAAAGCGCTGCTGTGGGTACAGCTCGACGTGAAACAAAGAGAGAGTATAGACAATACATGAATCGTAGAGGTGGTTTTAACCGCCCTTTAGACAAGTCTTGAAAATCTAGCAGAGACTTCCGTGATCGGTTATAGACAGCATGGAGTATCGACTACAAGATCAACAGTGAATGATGGATTTGAAAATCTGTTAAATAGGCAGTGGTCAGTCTAACGAATTAGTAAATTTGTGTCGCTCAGCGAAAGAAAAGTTAGATAATTGCAATGTAGGTCAAGACAAAGTCGTAGGTTAAGTCGCTGTGAGCTTCATGGAGCTCGCCCTTTTCATACGTGAAAGAGATGGGATCTGTAGAGAGATAGTCCATAAGCGCGGCCTTCCAAGTTCATTTTACTACCTCGACTACAATGATTCTACAACGATTAATGTTGAGTACAAGTTTTCAATACGTGTCGTTGACAATGAAAAATAAGGAAGAAAATGTATAAATGATACTAGAGGACATGCTGCATTGCTACTTACGGCCAATGCTGCCTTCTATGTAAACAATGAATAGTCCAAGCTAATCCTAAAGAAAGTAGGCACATACAGCGACGACAGTTACCGCGACAGAGCCCATAGTGGTCTTCACATGGGATGTGGCATCCGATGAACCAGGTAGCATTGGCCCAACCCGAGGAGGAATGGCTCCGCCCGAGTTTCCAGTCGGGCCCAAGTCATCCTCGCTCCCCATCGAGGTCTCATCATCGAGATTACTTGCGCTGGACGTCTGACTTGAGTCGCTGGCTGGCGAGTCGATCTCCTGATCCGGATCCTCTGCATCTGAGGGGATCTCAACATCAAAGGCGGCTGAGGACGCAAGAGATGCGATCGGGAGACTTGACGAATTCTTCTCGGACACTTCTGAATCAGTAGCTGTAACTCGAATTGTAGCACATGAAACGGTAGAGATGGCGAATGCAGCGAAAAGCAGAGCGTGAAAGACCTTCATTGTCGAGCGATGGGGATCGCTTTTTCGAGACTGGACAGTAGGGATGTTCGTATTGTGCTGAATTGCTGAGACATGAGCCTTGAAAATACCAAATCTCAATAGAGGCTTGGGAATTGTATTGGATTTGAGGGAGGCTGTCAATTCAGCGGATTTTGGTGGCTTGAAAACCCAAATGACCTAATTATGGTACTATTAATTCCTTATTTGATATGGTAGCATTGTATTGGAGCACAATTGTAAGAAGTCAAGAAAACATTATCTTCATATGATCTTCTTTATTGTTGCGAGGGCACAATGTCGGTGCTCTTGCAGACACTTCAGACATAAATCAAAGCATTTGTACAGCTTTTGCATGGTCTTCTTTGACCAAAAAAATAACGACTCTTAAAACTTAATATGCTTGACAGATGTACCACGAAAGCTGAAAGTAAATGAGGCTTGTGTGGAACGTATGATATGATTGGTGTTTGCGACAGACGACAGGCTGTTTATTTGTATCGTGGAGACAAAATTACTTACAAGTGTGAGATCTTCATGCGCTACTGGACATAGTTTTGCAAGGTATATCATCATTCATCAATCCGCAACCATCTGCAAGGCGAAAGGAGAAAGCCAAGAGACATGCACGATCGACGTACTCATTTGCGGACAAGCTGTGGTAAACGAACTGGCTGAGAGCTTTGACGAATAGTGTACTAGTTTCCTTAAATGTACTTTCTACTTTATAAAGAAGATAAACTACCGAAAGGGTGAAGATTCGGTGCTCTCGGACAGCAAATAGTGTCGAGGGCCACTTGTATCTGTCGTCTTATGTACCATCTTGGTGCAGTGCCACATTTGTAACGAGAGACGTATCGCACACCGTATTACGTATGCATTACGCTGTTGTGTAAAACTCCAGTCATACAGATATTTATCATTGAGCATTTAAATTAAGAATTAGGTTTAATTTGAGACTTTTCCTTTCTTGAAAATGGAACAGCATATTAGGTGACTAGCTCATTCAGTGGCTGTACGTGTTAGAGCATAAAAACTAATCCTTTGTAAATTGTTATCAGGGGCTCTTGTGCACCGCACTAGGTGAAAGAGAAGAAATACACATGTTGTGTGAACCACATAATTTGTGTGTTTAACACTAACTATGCACTCTGTATAGTTGTATATCCTCTTTCTGCTCTGTTGTATCAGAACTGTAAGCATTATTAGGTTAGGAAGGTTAAAAGCCTCTTGGCTATAATAACAGTTGTCACTCAGATGGAATATGTACCTACTTACTTTATTTTGGACATCTTAAATGAAAAGCTTCATTATTGTCAATGGAATATGATTTTGATCATGGCCACTTGATAGATCCAGAACGCTATCACACACCGGCTGATATTTAGGGCATAGACTCACCACTCATCGTGCAACTTGTCAAAGCAGGAAAGCAAGTAATATAAGCTTTAAATGCGATCAGCGAGATAATATATTTTGCAACGGCCCGCCGAAAGCGAACAATACGTGGTACGGTGTGTCGGTTGACCTAAGCCTTCCTTGAAATGTGTGCTTACACGGATGGGCGATTCCCATTACCACTTGAGTTGTGAAAAGACTGTATCCTATAATAGGGTAGAACACGAGTTGTTCAATTATATAACCTCGAGTCAATTATATACGCCTAGTAAGCTCGTGCCTATTATTGGTACCTAAGGATTCTGCAATTGTTGACCCAAAGGGCAGAAGGGGTTATCGCTTGCCTGGGGTCTTCGCTAGCAATTCGCGCAAGGAGAAAATTGGGGATGGCCATCAACTCGGCTATGATTTAGACGAATCAACAGCACGTCGCGCTAGCGATCACTAAGCAGGAAGCCGCACGCATCAATGTGCAGAGCTTCTGTAGACGAGGCATTCCCGACATGGTAAATATTGAAGCAGTATATGTCGCGAGTTACCCAGAGTGCACAAGATAGTGTGCGCTCTAACATCTTGTTTACCCGTCAACAAAGGTAAGTATAAGCGGACCGCTTTCAATCATTGAGAGCTCTCAGCGCCGTGGCTGTGATATAAAGTTAATAACTAACAACTACACAGAACAGACGCAGCTCACAGCAAGTCCTTGCGCGCTAATCAAATCTTCACAAGGATGCATTAGATGCGGAGCACAACCTCTTCTTTAAGGTGTAAATAGAGTAGCGGAAACTCTGTGAGTGCAGCAGTGGCAAAGAACCTCATCCAACGTTAGAAGTCAGAAAGATTCCAGCAGCACCGTAGTACTCGTAGATATTACAATTGTGGTAGTATCATATATCTGCGCTGCGTACCTTTTTGTCTCGACTGCAAGATTTGAACGCTTGAGCTCCTCACGTCGGTCGACGAATCCCGAGCAGAGAATAGTCTACTCCCAGTAGGGGAGAACGATCTACTGGATCCTTAGACCTCGTGAAGGTTGAGGTCAACCGGATCTTGCCTTGGTAAAAGCAACTCGCTTCAAATTTACGAGGCGTACATTTACCAACCTTTGACTGTTGACCACAACGTCTGCCGTGATAATCTCTGAGCAATTTAGGTAAGTCATCCATTTTCGTACCTCGCGTAACTATTAAACAGAAGTATGCGGAGACATCAAAGGTGTTTCTTGCGTCCTGCAGCATGTAATAAAATAATGCATAGCAACTTTCAGCTGAGCCAATCAATTTCCATGTGTCTCCAGTTTGGCCAACAATGTATCATGCAGAATCGTATAAGGCACATACCGTATTAAGATCTAAGGCGCGAATTGAAAAATCGTCATCAACGTCCCTTGGTCTTAAAGACATGCTCAGAAAATATAGTATCATGATCAGTATGGTTATCTTGATGGCGATAATTAAAGACAAATTGCATGGGAAACGCAGGCTGATACGCATTGCATATATTTCAATTTTGTAGATAGTAAAACGGATACATCAAGTGTCAGTTTGATATGGACTTGTTTTCAAATATACTAATAGGCCAAACGTAATTCCTATTATATGAAAGGCCTTGGTACCACTCCTTAATGATGTTTACAAACCCATTTTCTGTGCGTTTAGTAACGCAGACTCAACGAATCCAAAAGTTATTTGTGTGAGATTCAGGGCACTTCAAAGTGTTTGTCGTCAATTTGAGAATGAATTTGCATAAGATTGTATCCTCTGTAAGGTGAAACAGTTAACGTTAGTATTATCGGTCTTCAAGACACAAGACATCATAAACAAGCTTCTGTTGGAAGTTGGTCTGGGGGAGTTAGCGCATTTGTCGTCCTAAGGACATGATTAGTCATTTTTTAAAGAATGCCAGGTGCACCATTCATATCCTTGGAATGCCTTCAAAGTGACCCAACCACGTAAATATGGAAGCTAAACGGACCTCTACAGTAAGGCCGGTTACGATAAGAGTGTAATCCTCCAAGCGAAAAGACAAACAAAATCTCCCATTCGATCATAGGCATCACATACAAGCAGGCTACAAAATCCCCATCGCAACTTGTTGAGGTAAAGCTAAATAGGACCTGGATCGAAGACAGCGACTCTCTCAAGCGTAATAAACTTGTCGCTGAGGGTTGTTTGTTGTCGACATCAATTAAGGAGCTTCGTGAAGCTGCCAAAAATTTTAATAGATTTGGGAGTGTCGCGAAATTGTTTACGACTCGCGTTCAGAACAGAAGAAAATCCGAGGAGGTAATAAAGACGCTAAGCACACGTCAGTTCCGTATGTATTGCGAAAGGACCTGCTTAGCGTTTTGAAGGTTCGTTTAAGCCCCATCTAAAGTTTGGTCAGATTGGTATCAGAAAACGCTGCGTGAATCCTGTCCTGGTATCGAGATTGACTTTGTTCCAAGTACGACGTGGCTGCAACGCCAGCTTTAGATAAAAATCATGGGTGTCTCGCCCTCGGCCCCTTGTAGAGAATTGATATACCGTGGAAGCAAATGCGCTTTTTGCGCGGACGTGAAACTGCGACTGGAATCGGACATTATCAAACCCATAGTAGCTATATATTACGTAGAGCCTCAGTTGATTTATGTCCTGTGGTGATGGCGGCGCCAAGCCATCCTCATGACTAGATCGCATCTCGCATCCAGGCAGATTGTAACGGGGTTACATATACCCTGGTAACAGGGTTGTGTGTCACACCAGATGGGCATGGTGCGACCACACCAAAACAAGAATACGGTACGAGGCTGGATAGCCAGTAGTTATACATGTATTTAGATTTAACTAAATATATCTAGGAAAATCTATGCATTTAAAATTAGGCGGCTTTGCCGCAGATAAAAATAAATAAAG